GCATTTGAAGACTCACTATACTCTAATTTGGACGACAATGTAATAAAACTTTCGACTTCTAAGGTCACCGAATTTTCCCCAACCAAATCAATCTGTTCATCCGAAGTATTTTCCGTATCTTCTTCCATTAGCTCATTATTAAGTTCTTCCAAAAAAGAAAACGAATCTTCCTCACTAAATAAGTCAGTGCCATCTTCTATGGAATCTGCGATTTTGTTGAAAATTGATAAGAAATCCTCTTGACGAAGATCTGGATTTACATAATTAAGCTCTGACTTGGCATTCTCAACTAAAAACGAATGCATCTGAGCCATAATCTCCAAACGTTCAATACTTAATCTAAAAATAGCGTTTAAAAGTCATAGTGAGTTGATAAAGAAATTTAAGCGATTTTGGAATTTCTTAGTTAAATTTAGAAATAGGTTTCTATAGCAAAAAAAAAAAAAAAACTCTAACGAATTGCTAGTTTTTTTTTTGATTTGAAAGTTTTAAGAATTTAAAGGTTTACAATTAAAAAAATTGGCTCTAATATATGTTTAATTAACCAATCAAATCAATTACGCAAGAATTGGCCAATAGACATCGATTATGTAAGCATGACGAAGTATTCTATATAAAATGAATATTTTATCCTGCATATTACAAGATAAATTATATCCTAAAATGCTAATTTAACGAAAAATTCAAAATTCGTTTCCACTTATAAAAAAATAATAATTCACCTTGTTCGTCTTTTTCCGAAGTACCATCCTAGTATGCTAAAGACGCGCTCACAAGCAGCATTGTGGGGGGAAATAGAATGTATTTTTATAGCAAGTTTTTTAACATGATCTTCATTTCTTTTAAGATCTATAGACATCCACCAATTGGTAATTGTGTCAGCGGTTGCAATAAATTTATCGTCAAAGGGGTGCTCTTGGTTTCTATACAAATTCATTTGAGTTTTTAGAAGATCCGCACTTGTTCGACCACCACCTAATTGCTTCCATATTTCTAAGGCTTTTTTAAGAACATGATTTTTGTATATAGTAGGTTCAAGAAAATCGCCTATTATCAAAAAAATAAAAATAAACAATAGAAGTAAAAAATAAAAATAAAAATAAAAAATAAAAATAAAAGTAAAAATGAAATACCTCGATAAGCTGGGTGTAAAAAAAAAGATAAAAGGTATAAATCTGTATCAAATTCCTTCCAACGCTTATTGTAAATAGCAATGCAATCACGCCGAAACTGATTATTATATAAAACGGAAGTTTCTTGAATTGCGATTGCCATTTTGACTAGTTCAACAAATACATCTGCCAATAAGGTAGTTCGAAACTCTACGTTTTTTACGGCCCGTTTTACTGGGCCAAGAATATTCCGCAATTGTTCTACGTCAATCCAAAATTGACGATCATTAATTAGATTTTTTGCACTATTCGCTCGATCAAAAATTTGAGGTTCTTGTTCTAAAACCTATAAGAAATAAATTGATTTAAAATATAAAGTATAAAAAGACATTGTGAATTCACTCAAAAGAATGCTCTATAGCATTATTTAGGTAAACACGAGTATATATATTGTGTATCAATTTAATATTTGCATCAGGTTAAAATAATTATAATCTCACTAATACCCACCTTTACTCTAATATAGTTTTTACCCAACCCTAATGAAACACTAATTTGACGTACAAAATATATAAGAAATTTAATTGTGATAGTACCGATTTTATGTTCGTTTCATTGCGTAAAATAGAGTCGCAAGAATCCCATGCCGTTGACCACCGAGTTTTAGTGGTTGACTTTAAGTATCCACCGACAGTGAAGGAACATATGATTTCTTCTCTAAGAGCGGCACCAGCAGTATAAGAATTCCTAAAAAAACTTATAATTGTTTGACAATTAGAAAGAACCTTTTGCGCATGTGGTAAGCGACAAATACTACTAGAGATTAATTGTATGTGATGCGCAATGCATCTAATAGGTAAAATATGTGGATATTTTGTTGCAATCTGTCGTTTTGCTGCCATCATTGCTGATTCTGCATTAGAAACTATTGCAACAAATTTTTCAGGCCCAATTTTTTCTAATACTTCTACCATTTTTTCAGCATTAAAATTTGCGGTATGAGAAAACAATGAAAAATCACGTAAAGAATATACATATTGTTTTCTTTCATCCGTCATTATTACAAAGGCATATATGCTATGCTTCATCGGACTGCACCAGCCATCTATACATAATGTAAGATTTTTAGATTTCGATAGTTCCTTTTCTACTTTTAGCATTATATTTGCTGCTTCTACTTCCAAAACTGATGTTGTCAATGCAGTTCGTTTAGGTGAATTATATCCTGGGTTTAATATCTTGGTAAAATCTTCAAAATAAGGAGAATCGAAGGCCGAAAAAGAAATACCAGAACACACAATCCATTTAATTAGCGATTTATTGGCTCTGGCTTCTTTAGTTTTATCGATGGCTTCTTTTGTATCATAATAAGCATCTAGAGATAATATAGAATAGGTTGATTTTCTTTTTTTTACGGTAGATGTTCTGGATAATGTAGGCCTATCTTCATTTTGGATGTCTCGAAGCACCTTAATTCGTGTTTCTTGTGGTATTCTCCCTTTACATTTCATAGCGAGGTGGGACTTCATTTCCTGAGCTCTTCCACGTGCCCATGACATAGTACAATATCTACAACGAGCCCCCTTGTGTCTTCCTCTTCCATTGTCTATAGTATCATATTCGTTCCAAATATTTTTTTGGGGTCGTCCCCCATTATATGATGATTGCGTTGTCTCTGTTTGTACAGACTCTGTCTCACTAATTAAAAAAGAATCACTTGAACTTCCAATAACACTAATATTTTCGCTGTTTATAATACCTTTCATTATTGTAAATTTTTTTGGGGGAGGTTTTTTGTTCTTTTTTTAGTGTTGTTTTGGGTGTTTTTTTTTTTTTAAAAGAAAGGGATATACGTATACTAATTATAAAAGATTTTTTTTTTTTTTAAGAAAAAAAAAGGTTGAAACCTTCACGAAAACAAAGTTAACTAGTGCACGAGCACTAA